TACATAGCTTTAAGCAGAGGTATGATAAAGCTCACGGCTCAGGGAGAGTGACCTAGTAGCGATCAGTGAAGAGGCGGGGCCAGGAGCTCGGACTCGACCCCCGCAACCTCAACTAGGTGAGTACAACTAGGTGAGTACACACACACACACACACACACACACACACACACACACACACACACACACACACACACACACACACACACACACACACACACACACAGGCAAATAACTCACAATGACAGGAAAATAGTTACAAGTACAGTTCTGCCACAATACTGTAGTAATCCCAGTAGTCATTCTCGTTATCATCACTGATATAGACAAGACGTAAATCTCAGTATCTATTAACTTTTGCACGAGATACTTAACTGTTATGAGTGAAAGTCATCGAGGATATAGCAAACCTTAACGATGTAAACAAAGTCTTCCAGTCGGCCACAGGAAATTTGATGTTCAGTGGCATCAAATGCCAGTTTCTCTACTTCTTAAGAAATAATGTAACAATGTGCAATCAAATAATTGTCGGGTAAAAGGACACAAGTGCAACTAATGTGACATTTTATTGTGGCAACGTTTCGCTCTCCAGGAGCTTTATCAAGCCGTTACTAACATATTGTCGGTAATCCTATCAGCATTAATACAAATAATTGTTGCTGTTTGTGTTACACAGTGCGTATGTATCTTACACAGCGTGTATCTCTGACAGTGTGTGTATCTCACTTAGTGGGAGTCACACATAAGCAAGGGATGACCTTCAAACATTCCATAAGAATATCACAAATATTTTCATCTTTAAATACGACCAAAAATCAAAGAAAGTTATCCAGAAGTCGACCTTAGCCTAGTGCTTCAATCCATTAAATCCCTCAGCGTTCTGGGAGAACTTGAAGGGAATCCGGTAAGTTAACCGGCTTAAAACTTTGACTTGAGTCTTGCGAGTCGTCACAAACTGGAAACTTTATAGGGCAAGACTCTCAGAAACCTGTGTAATGAGTAGAAAGTGGTCCTAATTGTGGGAAATGTACTGGAAACATTGGTTAATTGAAGACGGCGGGGTAGGAAGTCGAGAGAATCTAGTCAAAAACACTAGATGCTTCTTCTTCTTCTTCTTCCTTCTCCTCTTCTTCGCTAAGATTCGTGCAGTTTACTTTGAGGCTTTTTCTCCCAGTGGCTACAGGCTACGGCAGAGAATTGGACGATTCCTTGGTCTTATGATCCCTCCTGGAGAAGCAGGATGGGTAGTCTGAGGACGAGAATGCATCGTTATTAGTTGGTGGAAGTCTTGATTCTTGGGTAGCTTGCAGCAGGCTTGGTCACAGGAAGAGAGGCAGATGGGGACAACAGAGGCAGGTCAGTTGTCGATGTTATGTAGCGTGAAGCATTTGAGGAAGAGCCGTTTACAAATTCTTGAAATTGGTTCTGGAGAGGTGGTACAGTTTTGTTTTATTACCAAATGTAAAACGGAGTGCTTTGATGAACTCCAGAACTTGGGTAAGAGTGAAATGGTGTCGAGTCTCACAAGTGAATTCAACAGACCCAGCACAGAGCCCTTCGTATAGTTCTATGCAGGTCATAGTTTCCTCATTCGAAGATGAGTAGAAAGTCAGGTTGTCCCAAGTAGGTGAGCTGATGCAGGAGTCATCAACATCTTCCTCCTCTTCCTCAGGAGAAGATAAAGAGGGTGAGTCTTCGATGGTGCTGGCTGATTGGTCCATTACAGTAGTGGTGGAAGTTGATGGTGGCCTCTCATTGGTGAGATTTGAAGCTATTTGAGATGATCTTACTAGTGTGGAAATACTGACATGATTTGAGGTGGTTTTGAGTATGGCTGAAGAAGGTAGGGAAGCAGGGAAAGTAAACTCTGGCATGTTGTTCAACCCGAAGAGCTCATTAATGGTGGTGTTGAAGGTTCCAGGGAGAGCCATATTCTGCATATAGGCATTCACTATACAGTCAGGTATGAAGGTAGTGGTGGAGGGTTGAGTAGCCTGGAGAAGTTTAGTGGTATCAGCTTGTAGTTTAGTGATAGAAGCTTAAATGGGAGATCTGGAAGAGGACTTCTGTGCTGCTTCTCGAGTTTTATTCAATATTTCATGGCGTGTAGGGCATTTTTCAGCAAGAGTGTGGTAGTTGCTCTTGCAGTTGAAGCAAGTTGATGCTGGTGGAGTGGTAATGAAGGTCTTGAAATCGTGGCCCCCACAACCACAGGCTGTGCAGAAAGAACTTCCTGTCCTTAATGGGGCAGTCCTTAGTGCTGTGCATATAAGAATAGCAATTCGAGCAGTGTAGGACATGGTGGCACCTTTTTTGCTCCAATATAACTGAGGCTAATAACAGATAGCCAGACCCTCAGCCACAGCATGGGCAGTCATGGTCTCATCAGTAAAAGTGATTTGATTTTTAACATGGATGAAGCAGTAGGGATTTTGGTAACACGCACCACTGTAGCCCAGGAGTTTGGTCTTCAATGGAGGTCTTGAGGTCATCACTGGGTTGTGAAGTAAGAAATTTGTCCAGTCTCCTGAGGAAGACAATCCACTTGGCCCTTAAAGCCAGAGAGGACATAACGGTAAAGCCTCGGTCAGCGAGAGTGGCGGTGGCGGCGATGGGGTAGCTTTCCAGCTTCAACATCATCGTTGCACACGACAATGAAGGAGTCATGGAGCGTCAGAATAATGTTAAACTTCACTTGCAAACCTCCCTTAACGGCAGCTGCAAGTGCAAGTTTTGAGGAATCATTCACAGTTCCACTCCAAGGTTTAATCTTAAGACGATTAGGAGAGTTCATCGTGAAAGATCAAAGACGATGACACTGAAGGTAAAGGTTCCCCTCCCCAACGGGGATCGTAGGGGGACTAAATATGAGGGTCAGAGCTTCTGCGACTTCACAGTTCGAGGTCTGTTCTGTTGGGGAGGAAGCACAGGCCAGGTTAGCTGGCGCTTATATACTGGCGCCAGGTGGCGAGGGACGGGTAGCAGAGGAAGACATTGTCACTGGTAGGCGGGATTCTTCATGTGGAAGTAGGTCATACCCAAGAACGGGTCAGTCGTAGTTAAGAAGTGGAAAAAAGACACTTATGTACAGTTCAGGACATTTATTAAAAGAAACGTTTCGCCACGAGTGGCTTCTTCATTAGGACTGAAGAAGGCACTAGTGGCGAAACGTTTCCTTTAATAAATGTCCTGAATTGTACATAAGTGTCTTTTTTCCACATCTTGTCGGTATCACCAGACGATTTCTTCATAGTTAAGAAGGGTGTGGAGATGTCCTCTGAACCAAGATTCCCGCTTACCAGTAACAATGTTAACGTCTGCCACACGTCCCAGATAACCATGCTAACCCAGCTAACTATGCTAACCCAGCTCACTATGTTAACCCAGCTAACCATGTTAACCCAGCTAACTATGCTAACCCAGCTAACTATGGTAACCCAGCTAACTATGATAACTCAGCTAACTATGTTAACCCAGCTAATCATGTTAACCCAGCTAACTATGGTAACCCAGCTAACCGTGCTAACTCAACTAACGTTGCCTGTGCTTCAGACTCGTGGATATGGTGGTCTTCAATTCCAAGGCTGAGGGACTGATTACCTCATCTTTTGTATATAGTTCTGCTGCCTTCCAATCATGTCCTTGAATTTGTGTTGATAAAGCCACTGGATGGCGAAACGTCTACAATAAAGATACCCAGATGTTCCACATGTGTCTAATTTTCATCTTGTCGATGTTATATACCGTCCATGTACAAGATCTGAATAGACTGATGCAGTGGTCAAAGAAGTGGCAGATGCAGTCTAACATAGACAAATGCAAAGTTCTAAGCATTGGAAAGGTAAATAACAAACGAAATAATGTAGATCTTAATATCACTGATTGCTAAATAGATTTGGGAGTTCTGGTTAACAATAATCTAAAAACTAAAACAACAGTGCGTAAGTGTTCGCAATAAAGCGAATAGAATTAAATAACAGGAATCCTTAGGTTGTTCTTCAACTCTATATATCCTTGGTTAGGCCTCATTTAGATTATCATGCGCAGTTCTGGTCACCGTATTACAGAATGGATGTAAATGCACTGGAAAACGTACAAAGGAGGATGACAAAGTTGATCCCATGTATCAGAAATCTTCCCTATGAGGATAGACTGAGGACCAGGAATCTGAACTCTCTAGCCAGGCGTAGAACTAGGGGGGATATGATTGATGTGTATAAATGGAAAACAGGAGTAAATACAGGGGATGTAAATAAAGTGCTAAAAATATCTAACCAATGCAGGATTCGCAGCAACAGTTTCAAGCTGGAAAAATTTAGCTTCAGAAAAGATATAGGAAAGCATTGGTTTGGTAATAGAGTTGTATCATAAAATAGTTTTGAAAAGCGAGAAGCTGAAGATTGAGACACTTATGTAGCATATGGGAATCTTTATTAAGGAAACGTTTCGTTACACAGTAGCTTCATCAGTCCAATACAAAGAAGAAATGGTAAGAGAGGAGGAGTTTGAGGTAATCAGTCCCTCAGCCTGGAATCGATGTGTTCAGTCCATCAATCTTGTAGAAAGTAGAGCATAGAGCCTGAGAAGTGGCTTATATACTGTAGTCAGGTGAGTGTTTCACTCTTCAATAAAGTTGTGGATGAGTGGAACAAACTCCAGAGTAGCGTCACTCAAGTTAAAACTTTGTGTAGTTTTTGAAATAGGTTAGACAATTACATGAGTGGGTGTGGTGGGTGTGGGTGGGTGTGAGTCGGACGTGACTAGCTTATGCTAGTAGGTAGGTATGACAGCGGATGATACTTGGACCCGACTAGCTGAGGCCAGTAGGTGACTTGAACATGCCTAGCATGGGCCAGTAGGCCTACTTCAGTGCGCCTTCTTTCTTATTTTCTTACCACAGCTGGTGTCGTGGTGGTACAGCATGGTAATAAGCACAGTTAGTATCGTAGTGGTACAGCATGGTTAATTACCGCAATTAGTGTGGTGGTGGTATAGTTACTTACCGCAGCTGGTTTCTGGGGTGACTCTGAAGAAACCGTCGCCACACTCGCCCTTGTGAGGGCAGCCCAGGAGAGCAGCTCGGAGGGCAATAGTTTTTCGCCAGCGTTGTGGATGGAGGCGGACGAAACGAGCCTTGAAGGGTGAGTTGAGGTAGTGACGCCTCTCCGTGTGTTTGTCCAGGTTCCCACCAAACACCTGTCCAAACTAAAAAGTGTAATACACGCCGGTATATGACAAACGAACCCACGTGAAGATAGGAAAGAAACTGCATATCTCGGCTACACACTCGCAAAGCGAACTATACCCTAGTCTTAAAGTGTAGTTGTCTCAGTGAGTGGAGAGGCTTCAAAACAGCAGCAGTTACATGTCATGTAGAATTTCACAAAACACACAAATGAGAAATTAATCTAGACAAAAACTCTCTTCTCTTACACAGCTGAACATTTCTTGTCTTCAGACGGAAGGTCAGTGTTGCGTTTAATGGTCTATTAAACGCTTGTTCTCTTCACTAATGGCTCGCACAATGTTTTACAACGTACTTTTATTAGTCATGGAAGCTTGCGTGTCGTTCCTGATCGTACATACACTTCCAAAGATGTCATATTCTATATTCATTGTTAAATTCAGATTGATTAGGGAAAGCCCTGGGAAAAAAAAATCTAAGATCACAGTAAACAGGTAATATCACAATACGCAGAACAGCAACTGTGAAAAAAATAGGGAAATTTCGTAATTTCTCACATTAAGAAGGCACTGTAAAAATAGAACATCTGCAGGAAAGCAAGTAAATACGAGACTACACATCGGGGTCATCATACAACACCTGATCTTTTTATGATGATGTTGGTACGTAGTCAAGAATTGGATTGGATTGATTTATAATTAATAAAATATGGAAAGAATTTCAGGTACATTAGACAAGTTAACATGTTAAAGCTTAGGTGGAATATAAGCTGTGTTGGGCATATCCTTCACTACCTACCAACATTATCATAAGAAAGATCTGCAGTTGTAAGATAACCGCCATGTGTAGTCTCGTCCTCATATGCTTTCCTGTTGATATATTTTTTTACAGTTCCTTTGTAATGTGAAAAATCACGAAAGGGCTTCGAATTTCGCTATTCTATCTATCTATCTATTTATATATCTATCTATCTATATATTATTATTATTTTTTTTATTAACACACTGGCTGATTCCCACCAAGGCAGGGTGGCCCAAAAAAGAAAAACTTTCACCATCATTCACTCCATCACTGTCTTGCCAGAAGGGTGCTTTACACTACAGTTTTAAAACTGCAACCTTAACACCCCTCCTTCAGAGTGCAGGCACTGTACTTCCCATCTCCAGGACTCAAGTCCGGCCTGCCGGTTTCCCTGAACCCCTTCATAAATGTTACTTTGCTCACACTCCAACAGCACGTCAAGTATTAAAAACCATTTGTCTCCATTCACTCCTGTCAAACACGCTCACGCATGCCTGCTGGAAGTCCAAGCCCCTCGCACACAAAACCTCCTTTACCCCCTCCATCCAACCTTTCCTAGGCCGACCCCTACCCCGCCTTTCTTAAACTACAGACTGATACACTCTTGAAGTCACTCTGTTTCGCTCCATTCTCTCTACATGTCCGAACCACCTCAACAACCCTTAATCAGCCCTCTGGACAACAGTTTTGGTAATCCCGCACCTCCTCCTATATATATATATATATATATATATATATATATATATATATATATATATATATATATATATATATATAAGAGAGAGAGAGAGAGAGAGAGAGAGAGAGAGATTAAGAGAGACTGAGAGATAGATAAATATATATAATAATAAATATAAGATAAGAACACTACACATGCCTCACCTGCACGCTCACCTTAGTATCGAGGTGATTGCCATCTTTGTAGGTGAACCAAACCTTGGAGTCATTGGAGTAGGTGAGGGTGTAAGCCTTCACCCAGTGCTTGCGACCAGTGTCACCTCGTCCCCTAGTGATGACCCCAGTCACCTGATGAGGTGGTCCCAGGTCCCATTGCAGCCATTGGTGCGCTAGTTGGTGATGAACCACAATATATTAACTCCCAGCTAGTAGAGATGAGTATATTGTTCCAATACACACACACACACACACACACACACACACACACACACACACACACACACAGGCCCATACTGGAGTATGCAGCACCTGTTTGGAACACGCACTTGGTAAAACACGTCAAGAAACTAGAGAAAGTGCAAAGGTTTGCGACAAGGTTAGTTCCAGAGCTAAGGGGAATGTTCTATAAAGAAAGGTTAAGGGAAATCGGCCTGGCGACACTGGAGGACAGGAGGGTCAGGGGAGACATGATAACGACATGTAAAATACTGCGCGGAATAGACAAGGTGGACAAAGACAGGATGTTCCAGGGAGGGGACACAGAAACAAGAGGTCACAATTGGAAGTTGAAGACACAGATGAGTCAGAGAGATATTAGGAAGTATTTCTTCAGTCATAGTGTTGTCAGGCAGTGGAATAGCCTAGAAAGTGATGTAGTGGAGGCAGGAACCATACACAGTTTTAAGACGAGGTTTGATAAAGCTCATGGAGCGGGGAGAGAGAGGGCCCAGTAGCAACTGGTGAAGAGGCGGGGCCAGGAGCTAAGACGCGACTCTACTAAATAACTGTCGAGCTTATATAACCCATAATTTGATTCATACACAGTGTTCCTGTCATATTTCTAGAGAGATAGTTCGATTATTTTTTACTGTGACTGAACTGCTGGGTACAAAAATTTAGGCATCAGCCCACCCTGGTGGGTGATTATAGAAACTGATGTGGTTGAAGATAGCGTTTGACCCCTGCCCTGTCTTGATTGAATATTTATGTTGGGTTGTTCTGGTTTCCAGAGGTTTACCTGTTTGACCAATATATGAGAGAGGACACTGGGTGCATGAGACCTTGTAAACCCCACCAACTTTGCTAGAGGGTTTGTTTTTAATCAACCTCTGTTTCACTGCCCCAGTGTTTTTTGAAAGCAAGGTTCATATTGATATTTTTTAATGCCTTATGTAGGCACACCAGGTTCTCATTATATGGTAAAACTGGTACAATTTTCCTGGCAATCACTTCCTTAAGTTCAGTCCTGTAATTAAGTCCTTGAAATTAAGACACTATTATATACCATTCTTGCACAACAAAGTCTTCCTTGCTGACATTAGCGCCTTCTCCACAAAATCCCTTGGATATCTCAGTTTTGTGGCTATGTTAAATATCTTCCTGATTTCGTCCTCTAAATACTCTGGACTGCAGGTACGCAAGGCTCTCGAGAACATTACCCTAGTTTTATGATTGGAATGGTCATGAATGTTTGAAGACACACTGATGAACTTCCAATAATCTGTAAATTTGAATTTCCTGTCAACGCGATGAATTAAAACATCTAGGAACATCTGTTTTGAACTTAATGGAAGGTGTGCAAGAATGGTATATAATACCGACAAGATGAAATTAAGACACTTGTGCAACATCTGGGTATCTTTATTGTAGACGTTTCGCCATCCAATGGCTTTATCAACACAAATTCTAGGACATAGCTTGAAGACAGTAGGACTATATACAGAAGATGAGGTAATCAGTCCCTCAACCTTGGAGTAGGTGCGAAGAGCACCGTAGTCGTGGAGATTCTGAAGCAGAAGCAAGAAGCCTGGCGCTTATATACTAACGTCAGGTGTAGCAGACAAGGGCATAGTCACTGGTAGGCGGGATTCCCCAGTGGAAGTAGTTCCTTCCCAAAGAGATGGGTTAATTGTAGTAGTAGTTGTCGTAGTCGTGAAGGTTATGTACATGTCCTCAGAATCAAGATTCCATGATGTTGCAGTGTCTGATAAGATGTGCAAGAATGGTATATAATACCGACAAGATGAAAATTAAGACACTGTGCAACATCTGGGTATCTTTATTGTAGACGTTTCGCCATCCAGCAGCTTTATCAATACAAATTCTAGGACATAGCTTGAAGACAGTAGGACTATATACAGAAGATGAGGTAATCAGTCCCTCAACCTTGGAGTAGCTTGCGCTAGACGTTGATCAACATCTAGCGCAAGCTGGACGCCAAGGTATTGGTCCAGTGTGGTGAGATTGGTATAGCACTGCGTACCTTGTTCCAAGGTTCGTAGGTTAGAGTCTCCTACAGCCAGAGATCAGTGATATATATATATATATATATAATATATATATATATATATATATATATATATATATATATATATATCGTATTGTAACCACGACTAAGTGGCATTTAATCAATGACAACACTGCAACTTGCCGGGGGATCGAATCCGTGTTGTTTTAGCCTGCCTCATGGTGAGCGAAAATTCCACGATGCTCTAACCCACGGGACAACACAATCCTACAAGAATCATGCATCCAGCAGAGCTAGATGTTGTACCGTGATCCGAGGATTTACGATGGTGTGGGTGCCTCAGAGCTAATTTCATTCTACTCCCCGTTTTGTGTACTAGCCTCCATGAGCAGTATATATTGTATTGTAACCACAAACGAGTGGTATTTCGCAGTGTTGTTATTAATCAAGTACCACGCGTTCGTGGTTACAATACGATATATACTGCTTGTGGAGGCTAGTACAATAAACGGGGAGTAGAATGATATTAGCTCTGAGACACCCACACCATCGTATGTCTTCGGATCACGGTACAACAGCTAGCTTTGCTGGGTGCGTGATTCTTATTGGATTGTATGGTGGAGTGGGTTAGAGCGTATTGGAATTTTCGCTCACCATAAGGCGGGCTAAAACAACACGGGTTCTATCCCCCGGCTAGTCGCAGTGTTGTTATTGATTATATTATATATATATTATATATAATATATATATATATATATATATATATATATATATATATATATATATATATATATTACCATGTGACCGTATATATATATATATATATATATATATATATATATATATATATATATATGCAGAGTTGTGCATGCACACAGAGGTGTGTATCTCTCAGTGTATATACTCTCAGAGATGCTTTAAATCTCTCGGTTTGTGTGCAGGCAAAATCCTGCTTAGTGACTCTCGTAATGTCCATAGAACTTTGGTCAACACATCAGAACGTTGCCACAGACACAGAATTAGCATAGAACTAGGAATTTAGCTTTTCTAGAAGCATTAAAGAAACTGTGCGCTCACCGTCTTTCCTGCGAGCACACCACGCTCTGTGAGAGTGTAGAGAGGCATCCTTAGCTTGACAGGATTTGCTACGGTGCCACGGCTTGTAGGAGCTGGCTGAGAGCTGCACATCCACACCCTCGCTGATCACCGCCTTGCACTCTGCAACACAATCACCAGACTAACAGTCAGGAGGTGGGATGCCCTCATGTATTTATCTTTTAAAATTAATTACACAATTCCGAGCAGATAGGGTCATACAGCTCCTAGTAGATAATTAGATTCTATCCCAAATAAGATCCCATCAACAGAGTCAAGACAATCTCACTTCAAGAAATAATAACGGAGATATAAGGCAAAATTTCATCACTAAAGTTAATCAGTTGCCCAAGTCAGAATATAATATTCTAGTTTACTATGAAGGAGCTCAAACTCAAAGATTTGGATATAAAACTTGCTTCTGTTTATATCGGCTGATACACTCCACAAACGGCTTCTAAATTAATCTTCGGTAAACGGATCTGAATTTGCCGGTTATTTATTGTATTCCTCATACCCAAAGTAGGAAGAGTTATGCGTGAGCAAGAAGAACATTGAGATGCGAGGTCACCTCTCATGTGCTACTTCTTTTGCAGGATCATTATAAGATACTTACAATCTTCAGGTATCGAGAGAAAACTATGCAGAGTTCTTGCACCACTACACACAGCAATTACAACCACATCATGAAGTTAAATGACAATGCTAAATGTAGTCGTGTCGCATTCCAGCTTGTAAGCAAGTAAATGACGGCCGACAACTTGGAAATTAACACGAATCCAGTGACTTGGAACACTACTGAGGATGCCTCGTTCCATGTGCATCGATCACTTCATGTATTTGAAGAGATAAGGATCCCTGAACAGAAGCATCTTCAAAAATGGTGTCGAAAGAGAATTTATCTGCGTCCATGACACCACACACACACACACACACACACACACACACACACACACACAAACACAAACACATTGATGTGTTACAACACCCTCCCCACGCACACCAGTGCGTGAAAAGAGTGAAGATCCTGTTTTTCAGAACAGATACGATCCTACACCAGTCACATGAATGGATAATCTTGCTTACACCTTCTCATAAAAGTACATTCAGTCACAAGGTGAGAGCAACATGACCACCAAGTAACAGGTTTTTATGATCCTACATCAATTTTTCGCAACATATTTTTATTTACGGGTTAAAATAACGATTCGAGAATCACCTCATTTCAAAGCCTAGCATTATCTAACATACACCACAACCCCAGGATGCCACTCATACTATTTTAATTACACCCAAATATTCATTTCCTGATAGACGAATATGGGTAGCAGGTGTAAGAACCTTGGCACCCAGGTGAATATTTCTTGCTAGTTGATACTCGTAAAGTTAGCAGAGGCAAGAACGCTTATTTTATTTGCTTTTCACTCCGCCTGGCATTGCGATCACGCGTTCCTTTGACCGTAAGCCGAGTGGTGTAGCAGTATTACCATGTGACCGTAAGCCGAGTGGTGTAGCAGTATTACCATGTGACTGTAAGCTGAGTGGTGTAGCAGTATTACCATGTGACCGTGAGCCGAGTGGTGTAGCAGTATTAACATGTGACCGTAAGCCGAGTGGTGTAGCAGTATTACCATGTGACCGTAAGCCGAGTGGTGTAGCAGTATTACCATGTGACCGTGAGCCGAGAGGTGTAGCAGTATTACCATGTGACCGTAAGCCGAGTGGTGTAGCAGTATTACCATGTGACCGTGAGCCGAGTGGTGTAGCATATTACCATGTGACCGTGAGCCGAGTGGTGTAGCAGTATTACCATGTGACCGTGAGCCGAGTGGTGTAGCAGTATTACCATGTGACCGTGAGCCGAGTGGTGTAGCAGTATTACCATGTGACCGTGAGCCGAGTGGTGTAGCAGTATTACCATGTGACCGTAAGCCGAGTGGTGTAGCAGTATTACCATGTGACTGTGAGCCGAGTGGTGTACCAGTATTACCAGGTGACCGTGAGCCGAGTGGTGTACCAGTATTACCATGTGACCGTGAGCCGAGTGGTGTACCAGTATTACCATGTGACCGTAAGCCGAGTGGTGTACCAGTATTACCATGTGACCGTCAGCCGAGTGGTGTACAAGTATTACCATGTGACCGTAAGCCGAGTGGTGTAACAGTATTACCATGTGAACGTATGCCGAGTGGTGTAGCAGTATTACCATGTGACCGTAAGCCGAGTGGTGTACCAGTATTACCCTGTGACCGTAAGCCGAGTGGTGTACCAGTATTACCATGTGACCGTAAGCCGAGTGGTGTACCAGTATTACCATGTGACCGTAAGCCGAGTGGTGTAGCAGTATTACCATGTGACCGTAAGCCGAGTGGTGTAGCAGTATTACCATGTGACCGTAAGCCGAGTGGTGTAGCAGTATTACCATGTGACCGTAAGCCGAGTGGTGTAGCAGTATTACCATGTGACCGTAAGCCGAGTGGTGTAGCAGTATTACCATGTGACCGTCAGCCGAGTGGTGTAGCAGTATTACCATGTGACCGTCAGTCGAGTGGTGTACAAGTATTACCATGTGACCGTAAGCCGAGTGGTGTAGCAGTATTACCATGTGACCGTAAGCCGAGTGGTGTACCAGTATTACCATGTGACCGTAAGCCGAGTGGTGTACCAGTATTACCATGTGACCGTAAGCCGAGTGGTGTAGCAGTATTACCATGTGACCGTCAGCCGAGTGGTGTAGCAGTATTACCATGTGACCGTCAGTCGAGTGGTGTACAAGTATTACCATGTGACCGTAAGCCGAGTGGTGTAGCAGATTACCATGTGACCGTAAGCCGAGTGGTGTACCAGTATTACCATGTGACCGTAAGCCGAGTGGTGTACCAGTATTACCATGTGACCGTAAGCCGAGTGGTGTACCAGTATTACCATGTGACCGTAAGCCGAGTGGTGTACCAGTATTACCATGTGACCGTAAGCCGAGTGGTGTACCAGTATTACCATGTGACCGTAAGCCGAGTGGTGTAGCAGTATTACCATGTGACCGTAAGCCGAGTGGTGTAGCAGTATTACCATGTGACCGTAAGCCGAGTGGTGTACCAGTATTACCATGTGACCGTAAGCCGAGTGGTGTACCAGTATTACCATGTGACCATAAGCTGAGTGGTGTAGCAGTATTACCATGTGACCGTAAGCCGAGTGGTGTAGCAGTATTACCATGTGACCGTAAGCCGAGTGGTGTAGCAGTATTACCATGTGACCGTCAGCCGAGTGGTGTAGCAGTATTACCATGTGACCGTAAGCCGAGTGGTGTACCAGTATTACCATGTGACCGTAAGCCGAGTGGTGTACCAGTATTACCATGTGACCGTAAGCCGAGTGGTGTACCAGTATTACCATGTGACCGTAAGCCGAGTGGTGTACCAGTATTACCATGTGACCGTAAGCCGAGTGGTGTACCAGTATTACCATGTGACCGTAAGCCGAGTGGTGTACCAGTATTACCATGTGACCGTAAGCCGAGTGGTGTACCAGTATTACCATGATGTTATATACAGGTGAACATAATTATATGTAATAAAGGAAACAAATCACAGAACAATTCACAACAATCACAATTCAGAAATGATATAAAATTCACACCTTCATAACCTATCCACACTGCATGGTAGCCCATCCACACTGCATGGTAACCCATCCACACTGCATGGTAACCCATCCACACTGCATGGTAACCCATCCACACTGCATGATAACCCATCCACACTGCATGGTAACCCATCCACACTGCATGATAACCCATCCACACTGCATGGTAACCCATCCACACTGCATGATAACCCATCCACACTGCATGGTAGCCCATCCACACTGCATGGTAACCCATCCACACTGCATGGTAACCCATCCACACTGCATGGTAACCCATCCACACTGCATGATAACCCATCCACACTGCATGGTAACCCATCCACACTGCATGGTAACCCATCCACACTGCATGGTAACCCATCCACACTGCATGGTAACCCATCCACACTGCATGGTAGCCAATCCACACTGCATGGTAGCCCATCCACACTGCATGGTAACCCATCCACACTGCATGGTAACCCATCCACACTGCATGGTAACCCATCCACACTGCATGGTAACCCATCCACACTGCATGGTAACCCATCCACACTGCATGGTAACCCATCCACACTGCATGGTAGCCAATCCACACTGCATGGTAACCCATCCACACTGCATGGTAACCCATCCACACTGCATGGTAACCCATCCACACTGCATGGTAACCCATCCACACTGCATGGTAGCCAATCCACACTGCATGGTAGCCCATCCACACTGCATGGTAACCCATCCACACTGCATGGTAGCCCATCCACACTGCATGGTAGCCCATCCACACTGCATGGTAGCCCATCCACACTGCATGGTAGCCCATCCACACTGCATGGTAGCCCATCCGCACTGCATGGTAACCCATCCACACTGCATGGTAACCCATCCACACTGCATGGTAGCCCATCCACACTGCATGGTAGCCCATCCACACTGCATGGTAACCCAGCCACACTGCATGGTAACCCATCCACACTGCATGGTACCCATCCACACTGCATGGTAACCTATCCACACTAGATGGTAGCCCATCCACACTGCATGGTAACCCATCCACACAGCATGGTAACCCATCCACACTGCATGGTAACCCATCCACACTGCATGGTAACCCATCCACACTGCATGGTAACCCATCCACACTGCATGGTAGCCCATCCACACTGCATGGTAACCCATCCACACTGCATGGTAACCCATCCACACTGCATGGTAGCAGATCCACACTGCATGGTAACCCATCCACACTGCATGGTAACCCATCCACACTGCATGGTAGCCCATCCACACTGCATGGTAACCCATCCACACTGCATGGTAACCCATCCACACTGCATGGTAACCCATGCACACTGCATGGTAACCCATCCACACTGCATGGTAACCCATCCACACTGCATGGTAACCCATCCACACTGCATGGTAACCCATCCACACTGCATGGTAACCCATTCACACTGCATGGTAACCCATCCACACTGCATGGTAACCCATCC